TAGGTAGTGATATCGTTGCCCGCTTTACTCTGAAGCGGGTAAGGAGCTTATCGTTTATGTATCGTTTCCCACTTCATGAACCGTTTCTATTTTGACTTGGTGCCTAGGCACATCATGCAGTGGTGTGTAAGCACGGTAACTCAGATTTAGCTTTATGGTATGTATCCGGTATCATATCCGGATATAAGACAAAAAAGCCTTAGAATGCCATCACCCCATAGCCTGGATTTCCACATGAGCCACTCCGGAATTTGCCGCCGATGACACTGCTCCAATACAAAATGAATGACCCTTAATTGAGGCTCTCTCAAGGCCCACAAAATTGACAGTTTTATGCATAATGGCATTAAACTGATAGCAGGTAAGGGGGCTCCCATCAAAGTGACAAAAGAATGGGCCTGAACATGGCAGACGGAGATTGGCAAAGTTCCACAGCGCCTGCACGGGACAGAGTGATGTGCCAGGTGATGTCCCAGGTGAACTGCCTTGGCAAATGCTTTGAGGGGGGCCACGTTGATTATTCTTGGCGGTGCGGAAAGAAATTACTACAGACCCGCCATCGTATACAATGCCAGGCTGGCGAAAACGTACGTCATGCAATCCGAGCACAGAGCGTTGCACGCGGTGTCTGGAATCAACAGCAAATTCGCCACCCCGCATGAAGCCTTATATGCATTAAGGAAAACCGCCCGAAACAATGCCGCCTCAAACTCCGAGGAACAAACTGCATTGAGAGACCCCACTAAATACGCGAGCAGTGGTACGGAAATCGGTAACCGAGAATCCCTCGCTGGATGGAGTCTGCGTGCTCCTTCCCCGAACTTACATGCTAAAAAATCATCAGTCGGATCGGCCAGCCCCTTAGCTTATGAAAGTAACTCACGCCAGCGAGGTACGTGTAAATTGAAGACGAGGAGAAGCTCTGTAAGGACAGCCAAGCGATAAAGTGCCTAATGTTGCCAACTGTAGCAGGAGCCTCGCTTGAGATGGCGTGCTGTCGGGATTGGTTAAATGCCCTCCAGCCAGCTGCATTGGTTTTGTGAGTGTTGGCAGCCAGAGCAGCGGAGAGCAAGCACTCTGCCTCATCCCTTACCAGGTTTCCGGCGTAGGAGGGTGTGGAGTCATTACGGCGTCCGCAGTGGGCGCGACCCTGCCAAAAGTGGGCCATCTGAAAACGGGACAAAGCATCTGCAATATCATTAAGTTTGCGGGGCACATGAACCTCCTTCACGGAAACATTGTGACGAAGGCATTGCTGTACAAATGGACGCACTAATTGCATAAAGAGCGCACAGCGAGAGGATTTCTTATTGATGATTTCCACAACAGCAGCATTGTCCGTATGAAATATAACCTTGCGCCCAGCTAAAAGCTTTGCCCAACACAACATGACTATGTACAGCGAAAGAAATTCCAGAAACGTGTTCGACGGAGAACGGCGAAGGAGTTCAGCCGGCCAGCACCCTGAACCCACTTGCCCTGAAAGTAGACACCGTAGCCTACACTAGCAGCAGCGTAGGTGAAGATGTGAAGGTGAGCATTGGATTGCCACTCCTCACCAGCGAATATGGACACACCATTATCAAGTGAGCTTGGAATTCCAGCAAAGTCAGCAGATCAAGCCAAACTCCTTTAGATATGCGCTCTTTGTGGTGAGGGCGAGACAAGCTTTGTGTGAGCACTATCAGGCGATGTAAAAAGGCTCGCCTGGGTGGAATTGCCCGGCACAGGAAATTAAGCGACCTGACTTGCTTCTGATTGCTACGGAGTGATATCCTGCATCCCTGTAACGCTCGCTCGATAAGTCAAGATGTGGCCAAAACCTTGTCAGAGGGAACGCGAACTGTACAATCCACAGTATTGACCTCCAACCCCAGAAATGTGATTACCTGCACAGGACAGACTGTTTTTTCAGCAGTTAAGGGGAACCCCATTGTACTGCCAACAGCCTGAAAGCAGCGAAGAAGATGCGTACAGCGGGCACCAGAGGACCCAACAAACAAAATATCATCCAAATAATGCGTCAGTAGCGCAGACCAACTGGTATTGCTCACCCGATATTCCAAAAATGAGCTAAATTTCTCAAACAGGGCACAAGCTATACTACACCCCATGGGCAAGCACTTGTCAAAATAATACAGACTGTAACGGACGTTGTGTTTTGATTTAA